TTCTATAATATAAGAGTTCAGACTTTATATCACCAAAACAGTAAGGAGAAGTAAAAAGTTTCTTAAGTGTAAAGTATGTTAATATAATTAGATTTTATACATTTTGGACCAATTCTGTCATACAAATTTAAATGATGCTAGCATTTTTGAATGTTATGAAAGCAAAAAACATCTTTAAAATGTTAAGGTTTTAATTTTGCAAATATAATATACGAATTAAGAGCATTGCATTTTAACAGCCTAATCCCACTAATCTGTACAGTATAGCTTTTTTTTTTTATAAAAGCAATTACACATGCAATTTTTTGCAGGTCTATTCCAGTTACCACATCATTACATCTGACTAATTTAAACCCTGACTAAGTCCTCATCTGAGCTAAAAAGAAGCAACAACTGACCCATTCAACTCTTATTGATACATTACAGTGCAAAAGTTTACTATCCCGAGAAGATTGCACTGACCAAAGATGAGACTAAAGTCAGGACTTAATCTAGGTACATAGATTAACGTCCTCAGAGGGGATTAGAGACACCTACTCCCATTTCAAAGCTGGGATTGTTTTGAAGTTTTAGGGGTGGGAGACGAGTTTAAAGACTGAACTTTTTGATTCCAGTGGGAACTCCTCAGCCTAATCCTTCCATTCCCCCACTCACCTTCCCCTGCTATGTGATCAGAGCAGGATCAGTATCCAGCCAGGCCCTTCTGAAGCCTCTGGCTCTCTTCCCCATTCATTAATTTCTCTTAAGAAGATTACTGAGACCTTGTTTGTTATTGTGTATAAATCTGCTTTCCCGGGTGTCGTATTGTAGAAGTAATGGCATAAAGACATAATGGGTGCGTCTAAACAATGAGCATCTCCACAGATCGCTGCATCATTCACGCAGCTTACACAATACAGGCTGCTGCTTTGCCAGCTTACTTAGGCACATTTGTTAGAGAAGAAAAAGGTCACAGAAGCTCCCAGATTTGAGACAGGGTATGATACACCTTGAGTCTGCTCTCACTTTAAACCTCCTACCAACATGCATATGTGAATATTACTGATTAGGAATCCACCAGACTGAGAGAGAACTGAGAGGTGGAGAGAACGGTGGATTATCATACACTCTTAACAATAAACGTTCCTAGAATAAAGGTTCCCCTCTTGGTTTAGACATACAGCTCTGAAAGAAAAGCATTTAATTGGTAAAGAACCTTTATATGACGTGAAATTTATTTAAACTTTTAAAAGGTTCTTCACACTCACACCTCTTATTTACAAGAACGGTATAGCTTTCTTCATAGATTTTTGAGAAAAGGTCTAAAGATTTCTCTGAAATAAAAAAATGTTTAATTGTATATTTTAGTTCATTTTTATTTAACAACAATCATCGCGCTCGTTGTATTTAAATTCTGCAGGTTTTGTGGTAATATTTTTGATAAGTAACAGTGAAATCAACCAACTACTTAACAGTGGGGGAGGTCACTGTGGGTCTTCCAGAAGTCCTTGGTACAATGAATATGAATACAGGTGGTAGCCTAACCAGGTTTCAGTCAGTTGTTAGAAACAGAAATAGTGGTGGCACCTGTGTGCCAAGGCTCTTAACTGAAGGAGTAGCTGTAAATTTATAAGGGGCAAAAATATTAATGTGTTAACTTAGCACTAACATACTACTACACAGCAAAAATGGTATCTTAGCAAGTGAAATTATCTTAAATCTAGACAATATATCTACTATTACTCATGCTGAACTTAATATAAGATTGTTGAAGTTATTTTCAGACATTTTATCTATTTTGAGTAATTCTATTAAGTGAAGTTTTCTTCACATTTTCAAGCTAAATTATCTGCTAATATAGTGAGATCATTTCACTTAATAAAACCACTTAAAACAAGTAAAAATGCCAAGAAATAAGTTAGAAAATGAAATAAGTTTACAACAATCTCAAAATTGGACATATCAGATTTATTGACCAGATTTAAGATCATTTCACTTGCTAAAACATATTTTTTTGCAAGGTAGAATCCTATAAGGGTGCTAGCAGAAATTAGCATTATTAACGTATTAGCGAATTAGCGTTCATGGTGCAAACTGAAAGCCTGGCTCTAATAATCATGGTTTGCCACTGCCCTTTCAGCAGGTTTATTTTTAAGAGTGTAAAGGCAAAAGAAAATATTAAAACATGAAGTAAAAAGAGTGAATTTAAAGAATGCAACAAGAACAAAATGTTAAAAGCACATGGTTCATGAGTACTTACAGTGACAAAGTCCTAAAGAAGCAAGGATTCAAGAAAACAAGAGAAGCGAGAGGATGTAATGAGACTGTAGATATCATAGTCAAATACATTAAACATGGTAAAGGACTGTAAAGCACAAAGTCCTACAATTAAATTCCCACTGATTGGCATTTTGGGGTTTCACAAATGATCCAAAGCAACCATTTGATGGAGAGAGAGAAGGGACGTCTTTTCACTGATTAATTTGAAAAGATCTATTATCTTCCTCTGTATCATCTTCAGTGAGCGGAGTTTTAATCATTTGTCCGTGATGATTCAAACACAAAATGCTTCCTTTCCCCCTGAGACACCAATGCCAAGTTCACCACACAAAGCCTTCCAATCTTCTGGAGCAATTCAAGCCATGCCATTAATTCCACAAAAGCCAAATGTAATTGATTGATAAGGGCTCGAGATTAACCTTTCCTATGAGTTTTTGTCTCTCAATCTCGATGGCCACATAAGATGCTGTCTATCCCATCAACACTATCTCCTTTATCAGATCCTGGTTAAGAGCATTGGCCATTACTGTTGACCTGGGGGGACTGGAGGAGTAAAAGGGGGCCACTCAATATGGCCGCCTTTGACTGCCACATCTAAGGCCAGATCAGATGAGAGTGTCCTGGCTTATCTTTAAGGGCAATATAGATGGTGCTTTGAACTGGTTTCTCTTTTGAAAATGTATTGTTGGCTAGAGAAGAAAACCTTGTGTGCTCTTTGAAAATGTCCTGCATTGGTGTAGTTTAGCATTAGCCACACAAAAGCAGCACTTTGGTATCTCTACTTGCATGCCAGTGTAAACATGAAATGTGTTAGATACATGCATTCTCCCCGGCTCAGGCAGATTCATACCCTTGGGCTACAAAAGCAGGAATCCTGGGACTGTGGTAAGGAATCTTTCAGCAGAACACATATGACATTGGCCTTAATGAAATCACCTCTGCCTGAAGGACCAGCAAGGAAGAAACAGGAGTATACACTACTATACCCTTTAGTAAAGGCAGTGGCAGTGACACATAATGGTAAAGGTTCATTTTAAACGGTCTGTGCAATTCTACCACTACTGTCAAAGGCACTTAAACTTAAGTTTAACATTAGCAAATATGCCTTTAACTGCAGTGGTAACAGAAGAGCTAAGAGTGCATCAGGAACTGGGTGGTTAAGGAATTTGTAACTCCTCATGTGTATGTGCAAACCATTGCAACATGCTCTAAATATGTTAATAAATCTACTTCTAGCAGCATTAGCAGTAGCAGTGAAAGCAGTAAGCGCATTTGTCAGTTGCTTTACGGAGGTGCTGCAGGCAATAGCAGTGGCAGCCACTCCCTGTTGCCTTTACTCACCCCACTGATCCTGCAAATTCACTAAACTTCATGGAAATTTAATAAGTGCCGCTGCTTTGGGCCCCACTCCTGCAGAGCCCAAGCCTGCTGCTGCTAGGCACATATGTGATGATTTACAACCAGACACTCATTTACCACCTTCCTCTTTTTCTTCCTCTCTTCTCGTCCCTCTCCACCCTTGTTTCGGAAGTGCCTGTTATTGTAGCCTAAGTAGCAGAATAGACAGCCTTGGGGCCCGAGGCTTCTGAAGTTTAAGCCAATCCAGGCTTTGTACACATCCAGGGGCCAAACAATATCTGGAAATCGTCAACGTGTTTTATTTTCTTTTCTGTTCACCTTCAAAGCGAGCTGCATGGCCTTTCAACAATATCAGGCGACAAAATGCTCCTGGTCAAAAGACTATCTGTTCCTGTCTGGCGGTTTTCACCCCCTGCCACTGTGTCTTCCTCCTTCTGGATAGCTGTAGTGTTAGGCATACATCATTCATAACCTTTCTAGGTTTAAGCTCAAATTACCCTTTGTACCACTTTTGTTTCAACACAATGTGACAGTGTGCGTCATGTAATAGTACACACTCAAAAGAACACATTAGTAAAGACTAATGTCACTGAAGACAACTCATACATGGAAAAAGCAATGGACTATATGCAACATTAACACGTTGATAAAATATATTACATCAGCACAATTCTGTCTTTCACAGTCCTTTGGCAGTAATTGTATTGATGTAAACAAAGTGAAAATGAAATACAGGGGGGTGTAATAATGCATTGTTATATTGTGATGCAATGCAAAACTGTGACAATGTGCATCGTGGATATGTGACAATGCATTGTGGAGAAATGACATTCTATGAATCATGCCATCTATTGCATCCAAACTGCACTGACTGAACCCCAAAGTTTGCATGATCAGTGCCAGCATTCATCCTGCCTGACAGCTCTAGTGTCGATAGAAACTTGTGCAACAATATGATTATTGTCATCATTTTTCTTCATTTTATAATTTTCTTCAAAACAGCATGAGAATACTGAATTGTAATCCCAGTAGTATGAATCAGATGTAAATGTGGGCTGATTATATTGTTACACCAGTTACAGAAAGTATGGAATATATGGAAATGTATGGAAATAATATACACTTTCCAATCAAGTAAATTCAAAGCATGTTTTTTTTTTTCATTGTAGCCTTTACAGTTTAACGTGTTCCACTACTGCTGTTTATCAAGTTTCTTTATACCATAACAGCTTGATTATTTTGGAAGGTGGAAGGGATAAGATCACTTCTTCAGCAGGGCCTGCGGTGAGGGGAGGATTATGGAATTGGAGACAGGGCTGTTTGTGGTGGATTTTCCAGACAGTAAGAGGGCTGCAGGGGCTCACCTTTTTGGGGGCCAGGGTGGGGTCCTGCAGCAGGAGCTGGCGCAGACCAGGAGCATTCCCTAATGCTGCACACCGTAACCACTCCCGCTCCAGAGGGTCCATCTGCATCCTCTGGAAGAGAGACTGCAGAAAAAAGGCACAATCAGAGGCAATGCAGGAAGCATAATGTCAATTTTGTTAGAAAAATACGTCTTTTGAATGGTACCTGAAAAAAAAGTTTTTCACTTCAGTGTCTGTTAATGTGAAGAGATTTTCCATTATTCTGAACAATTTTGGACTATTACGAGTGGTCATGAAATGTTTACACAATGACAAAGGCAGCTGGCATTTCTAAATAGTGTAAAAAAAAAACCCCAAAAAAACCCCAAAATGAACTTACAAGATTTTGATATAACATTTATACTTTTGATAGAACAATAAAGTATGGTTTAAAAATAAAGCAACGGACAAGTAACAAAAAAAGGCAACACGTTACTGTCCCAAAATGTGTGTTTCTTTCAGACTTGCTCATACACGTGCCTGGCTGTGTGCCTCTCCTTCTCTACTGTATGTAATCAGTAACAGTTGAGCCCTTTAGTCTCAGCAAGCTTCAACCTCACTTCATCGCTAATCTGGAACTGGTTCCTAGCGGCCTTAGCCTAAATGAAAACAGACAGGAGTCCATGTCTCCTCACTGATCAGTGAACTGTGACCGGTTCTGGGGCCCTCCAGAAGCCTCTGGTCAACACAAGAACCCTGTTGTTAAGCCTGGCAATAGAACGGGGGCCCCAGCACTCAGATAACAAGACCAGAGATCAGTCCGCAGATCCACATACCACTAATCCCAATGTTTAGCACCTGTTTATGATATGACAAATTGAAACCCCCACTGTGAAGGGTTTGGACATCATTGCGGATATGGTACAAAACACTGATCAATCGTGACAACCCACCGCAAGTATCATAAGACATGCTAACAGAGTTACCTCAAGAGCTACGGACATGTGCGAGTGATAAAATCTCACAGGAATGCAGAACCAAAGTATAAAATAATTAGGGGCCAAGGGAAGTACGAGGGTAGAGGTATGGCAAAGGGTTAGTATGGCTACATATGTGTGGTGGTTGAGAGGAGTAGAGAGAAAAGCAGAAGGTGAGGGGTGGGGGGGCAGCGGGGGGAGGGATCCTGCGGCCATGCCCTGCACTGACCTCTGCCCTCATGTTAAAGGCAGAGCGTGCAGAAAGGAGAACCAAAGCGGTCGCAGATCAAAAAGGCTGACAGATGAAGGGGAAGGGTCTGCTTGACCTTGACTCTTTAATGTCAGCTGTGTCTCCAGACAAGAAAACTCTGACATGAGCACCATTCATCTGTGTCTGTTAGCCACACCAAGTGCCAGAACACAACATAAGCTGTTAATTAAGCCTGTGTCATTAGAAAGCAACTTAATCCGCTGACACATTTTCATAAAAAATATATGGCACTTCAAAAAACACCTCTGTGTTTCTCCATGGCATGTCCATTACAAGGTAAATACTGTAGTATTTGTTTAAACTGTGTAGGACAGTTTGTTGATGTATCGACGTTTTAAACTGATCTGAAAGAGAAAGATCTGGTGACTAGGCGCTAGGGCAAAGGCAGAAACCCAAGACATAAAAGAACAAAGATGGTCCCCGAGCGCAAATATGGCACAAAAAACCACCACATATATCCCATGATGCTACAGCGGAGGAAATTCCTGCTGTGAGGGAGCAGACCCCAATAACAAGATCCGTAAAAATAACTGTGACATCCTGTTGCTATGGTCAACAAACACTGAGATGATTGATGAAGACAAACTGCTAGACTGATGGACATTGCGAGATATCTCTTTAAGACGGCCTGTCTTTTCCCAACCTCTTTTGACACTTGAAAGGCCCTGGTCTCTCTCCCAGACAGATCAGATGTCAAACCTCTCAGTTTTCTCTCTCCAGGTGTTTTTTTAGTTGTTTTCTTCAGCAACTCATACAAGTTTACAGGTCTCTCAGAGGCCGTCAATGGAAAACAATGTCAACACTCCAATAACTGCCAACATAAAGACAGAACATGATGAACAAAGCTATCATTTTGTGTTGTGAAGGTAAACTGGTCACTTGCTCACAAATTATCAAAAAAGTCTTAACCACTGTCGGAATACATTTCATCTTTATGCACTCCACCTACCTACAGTATGAAGGTTTGCACTTCCTTTTAAACAATCTTTTCTTTACAAAATATCAAATTACAACTACTCTCGTTACTATATTGAGTCTATTCCCTCTAACACTCTTTTTATGAGTATAATTACATCATATTCATCTTATTTTTACTTTATTTCTAGTAACCTATTCATGACTGCAATTTTTATTAAAAACTCTGCTTTTCAGGACTCAACTTCACCTAAGAAAACAATTATCTGCCAGTCTAACTATTTAAGCTAAGTAACTACTGTGTTTTTTAAGTATTTCCTAATGTTGTCATCTTAGAATAACAATCATGATAGCTTCTTATTACACCTAAAGCTGTTGTTTATATGTTCTACTGCACAGGCCCGTTGGCGAACTAATTTAGCAAATGTAGCTAACATTTAAGAAGCTAGCAGGCAACTTAGGTATCTAGTACAGCCAACAGAACTTTATGTATTTGTCCTTTTTGTCTGTAAGGTGAATTTTAATTGAAAGTAGCTCCTTCTTGTGTCAAATTCTTTATTAACATTTTACATATATTCAAACGAATTATCACAGTAGTAGCTGTACCCTTCCTTAATGAGGAATTCCCCCAAATTTCTGCACAATTAAATCATTAGGATGTAAAGAAAGACATTCAAAGTGGTTTGATGTGAAATGCTCCATTCTAGAGAAACATGCTGAGTGATAAAAACCAGACATCCAAAGCGTTTAAGGCCTCTAAAAGCTACCTCACAGATATTTATTACATTTAATATTTATGGACACATATAGACATTGTTGTCAGTAGTTTTAAATCTCGGTTTTGGCCTAAAATCTGAGGCAAAATAGTCCCAAAAGAGAACTTAATTTTCGGAAATACCACACTGTTAGCATTTTTAAAATACAGCACATTTAACACATAAAGCTCAGAAGACACATGTAGGTATAAGGCTGGTTTTGGCTAAGAAATAAAATGGTTATATTTGTGTTGTGGACATCGTGACCCCATCACAGTTCCACCACCACTGTAAAGAAATCAGGATCAGTAAGCTTCTCTATAATGAACTATTTCACATTTCCACTGTGAATGACTTGTTTACATCTCAACAATGGAATTATGCAGACATGTTGAAAAATCAGTGTTTAAAAAAAAACTGAAATTCCCCTGTGTGGGGATTTCTCCATTTCTTATTTCACCCATATATTATTATTACCATCTTATAATTTTGCATGTGTCTGTATGTAGCAAATCCAAACCTTTTCATGTCAATGTGATGTCACTGCTGTTACAAATATCACAGACATCATGCTAACTGTCTCTGGAAGGCTGTCGGGGGGGAGTGGTGAGTCAGGTCTTTTTTGGAACATGGAAAATGCCGTGCTAGCTTTCCTGGTGCTCATATCCCAGCACCACTCTGCAGAAGGTGCTGCTTCAGACAGGGTGCTAGCGTTACATGCTAATACAGAGAAAAGCCTGAAGTAGACCTCTAACTGTTTATGCTGGCACGTAGAGAGAATGAGACAGAAGTCAGAGGCTCCCTCACTGGGAGAGCAGATACCACATCAGCAAGTTTTGTGCCCTCTGCTTGGACACTGGGGACATAACAAGAACACAGATCACTTGGAGAGGATGTTGTGTCACAGAATTTCAGAGACAGCAACACACCTAGTCATTAAAAACTGCCTATGTCAAAGCAGCTAGAAAATATTTATATTTAGAGGGCTTTATTTAAGAGTCAAACACAGAAAACCAAGAAAAAACTAATAACCTTATAAGATTACTGAGAAATTGCTGCAACCGACAGGCAGGGCATCTGAAACTGCAGAGTGGACAGTGTCTACTAAAATGTACAATATAGCTGCTGTCATATAAAATCCCAGACAACAGAAATGGTCCAAAGTTACTGGACTAAAATTGAATTACATACATGTACATTAAAGTTTATGTTTTTTCTTCTCCTATAAAGTTGCCATTTTAGGGATATAAGGTTTTATTACAACAGCAACAATATTTTAAGTAGGCTCAGCCAGTCCTGAGGTCACCACTCCACTACCTGACTGGACTTAAAAAATCTATGTATTGACCTTTATGTGGGTCCAAGAATCTGGTCATACTAATGGACTATGGGCAATATATGAGAATATTTTATTATACTGTGACAAATAACATCACAATATGCTTTGCTGAGCTTATCATGGAGATTGTCAGTGTGTCAAGAACACTCAGAGATCTTGTTTCATTAAATTAGTGCTGTTTAACTGAATTTAAAGCAGCACATTATGTGAAAAACACCCACCCTTTAATGAACATTGTAATACAATTGTTGCAGCTTTTCAGTAGTAAATTTCAGGTATTTGAGCTTTTAGTTAATGAAATTAGTTCATCTCCAAGAAAACTGAGGTGAAAAGCACAGTAAGTTCTTCGAACAAAACTTTGGCCAATTAAAAAGTCGGAATATTTCATCCCACTTCAACAGTTCAGCTGTACTTGCTCCATAAATATGGTCAAAACCTTGTCAGACACCTACTCTCTCTCTAACATTATTATTAAATTCACTTTTACAAAGTGTACACTTAGAGGTTAGTTCTCTTTGAGTGAAATAGGTGAGGTTGAGGTCAGGGAACAGGCCCTACTGTGAATTTATCACCCAGACATAAAATTAACAAGAGAAAGAAGCCATAATTGGCAGGCCAGTTGGTAGCCTGCCAATAAAGTTTACAGCAAAGTTTAAATAAAAGTTTACAAGAGACAAACTCCCCTCGTTTATTCTGAAATTAATGTCTTTGGTGTTTTATGGCTCTGTTCTCTAGTGACTCTTGCTTTCAAAGCAAAGCTCCCAGCAGCTAGTTTATGATGTGCTTTATGACATAGCTTCAAAATTCATGGGCATAGTCTTGGATTCATAAATCACTGGAGCACAGTTCTCTTCTGCTGCACGGTTCATAGCGGTATGTTTAGGGTCACAAAGCACTGATTCCTGGTACCCGCATAAGCAAGACACACTGTGAAGCATGCATTTCGGTTCATGCACATGTAAATTATCAAAATGAGTCATATGTGAGTCAATTTAATTTAATTTGATCTTGGCAGTAATTAAATTGGATAAAACAATGAATGTAAATCCTGCTAATAAGTTATAAAGCTTCATATGTTCCATGTGTATGTTCTCATATTGTGGCCATAAGTTTGCCTCATCTAGTGCAAAGTGGCTGGCAGTGTTAGTGCTGTCTCTCGCTGACTCTGTATTAATGAGCTTTAGCTGCGAGCAGTGGCATGCAGGGTCACGGCCATGACGGCGGAGTTCACAGACCTGTTTACAGCGCAGGTGAGAGATGTGCAGGGGAGAGGTGTCACCTCCACGTTAATTAAAAAACGCGAGCATTCGCCGAGGGGGCTGTCCTTCAGCTGCCCGCCTGCTGGGGGGACAGAGGCTGGCTCACCCTGTGCTGAGGCAGAGGTGTTGATACAGCTCAAAAGGCAAAAATACTTTTAAAAGGGGTTCATTCACCTCTGCTTAAATGAACTGGCAAAGGTTTCTAAGGGCCAGTTGAGAAAAAGATGTAAATGAATATGAAGGGGCAGCTCCATATAAAAATGAATAATTCATCTTTTATCTACTTCTACTTGTGTAATGAAAGCAGAAAAGTTATATTACCATGACAGAGGATGCTGTAACACTCCTGGTATCTTCCTCAGGGCCTTCCTTAACACATAAACAAAAACACTGTTGTACTACATCCCACGATGATATAGTGATGTAAGCAACCATTCTGTTCTCTATGCTTCATCAATAAGTACAGGAGAAAAGTCGTCCTACCATGACAGAGGATGCTGCTACACTCCTGGTATCTTCCTCAAGGCTTTCATGTTCATCACTCTGAAACATACACACAGACACAGAGGTTCATTTTTATACAGTGTCAGGACGCGGGGTCATACACATGCCCCACATTTCAACTGCAGCTTGCTTGGTCAGATTTTTAAGAAAAGTCTTGTCAAATTGAACCTGCTGTTGACAATGAACAATTAGCCAAAAATGAACAAAATACGGTTCTGCGAACAAGACGGTCTGTGAAATGCTTTACAGACTGTATATATGTATATATATTTTCAGCTGTTTCTTTTGGCCAATACATCACTTACACATAATGTAAAGGGCAACAGGCATTTTCAAATTATGTCAAAAACTGAAAAACAATAAAAAATTGGAGGTTTTGTTTTCCGACAGCAGCGATATATATACATAATGTATTCAAATTGTCTCAGCCTAAGCCAAATCCCACTCTTTAATACTGTACAACTTTAAAGACCTGAGACAAAACTGGTAGTATCTGGATGGCTTTATGGATCTGATTACTGATTATTCTATTTCAAAGAAGCCTAAAACGACAGCCATTGGTCAATAAGGACTTTCCTAAGGCCTGTCCTCATCCCATTCACATCAGCCCTCACTTCATCTCACAAGCAAGAGAAGACGAATTCAGTCATGAAGTCAACATCTTCCTGAAGAAATGTTTCCCCTCAACAAAGTGACCACATTTTAGCACAACAAAACCCCTCTAGTCTTCCCCTTAAAGCCACATCACCTCCTCTGTCCCCCCGCACCACAAAAACAACAGACTCAAACAAACGCACACACACACACTCACACACACATACACGATCATCCTTCTTCTCATTCTCTTTCCCTCCTTCTGTCAAACAAAATGAAAGCCCTTCATACTCTGACAGCTAGAGAGCCCTGCAGCTTCAGACAGCGAGGAGAATCTTCTCTGCATTTGAAACTACAATAGTCGTTTTTATGAATAAATCAGTGTTGGGAGAACATTGCATTTTCTAAGACATTTTTATATCTGACAAAATGAAATAAGGGGTGGGGGTGGTGTTTTATTGTATTCTACATGTGTTTACAAATTCTGAAAGCCATTTACAGCAAAAAAGCAATTCAAAAGCTGCATACACAATAAATGCTTACTGAAAGCACAGTCAAAGCAGCATTTGACAAAAAACTTAGTGACAAACTCAATTCGAAACCTGCCAGTAACAGCAGCCAAGAAAGGCTTTGAGTTTCACAAGCTGGCAAGCATTCAAATGACAAACGCGTACCTAATCGTTTTAAAAGCGCTATCCAGCTTCTGAATTGGGTTACATAACACTATGAATGACATACTGGCAGCACATTCACTGGAAATACTGCATCACCTTTCTGTCACTTTAATCCTTTCAGACTGTGAGATCTGATCAATGGATTTAGTGACTGAAACAAAATTTTACAATCCAGATTTCTACAAAATTGTATTACTTCCCTGGTTGTGAAAATTATCTTATTTTGCTCATCAGAAATGTTTCTTTTTATAATATTGATTTCTATAATCTCATAAAAATATTTATCACTCAAAGTTCACAGCCTCTAGTAACCTTCAACACTGCAATCAGTCCAGTATGAAGCTGTAGATGATAAGGTTTGAAGAAATCCTTCAATGCTTTCTGATATGAATCCTTTCATTCCTTCACATTAGCGAGTGCTGATAAAGTCAGTAGAGGCCTAATGATGTGTGGACCTCATGTTCCTACCCATTCCTTCTACTAATGCTCAGTGACAGACTGCAAATCTTTCAGAAATAAGCAAACAACAGGCCCTTTGATCATGTTAGGAATTCGATACGGCCTCTTATCTTGTATGGTGTTTCTGTGTTTTTAGCATTTGATTGTTACTTCAGGCATTGAGGGAAAAAAAAATCTAATGCTATGATTAAAAAGCCAGAGCTAAACATGGGAATAGTGTTTTTTATACATAATCTATGAGACTTAGTAGCCCATTTACATTTCTAAATGATTTACATACGGTAGAGAGACCCTCTAGTCATAAATAATTTAATATCACAACATATCCTGAAGGAGTAGCTCATCAGGGCTGTATTTAACTTTAATTACTCTTTTAAAATCTAATGTTGGCCCTGCAGTTATGATTCAATAATTCTGTCTGAAAACTAAATGTTCCTCAACAGTCTACTGATATGGAAAAAACCCTCAACGAAAAAGAGTCTAAAGACAGGGGGAGGGAAAACGGAAGACACATGAAAGAGAAAGAAGGAGAGGCGTCGGGGGGGGGGAGTCAAAGAACGTTAAGAGCATGCGCGTGTGCGTGTGTTCACCTCTGATACTGATTTACATGCAATCAGGGGTTACTCATGTTGTACTTTCAGCTGGTGGCACCAGCTGTGCTGCAATTGTTCATTCAAACATTTAAAGCAGGGTATTCTTTGGGAAAAAAAGGAAAAAAAGAAAATAGCATTAAGGTTAACAAAATAAACAGGCAGCCACAAAATAGCAGAAAATGGTAATCATCCCTGTAAAACTGCAATACATTTCATCTTATACTAATTAAAAAGCTTGAACACCAACATTAACATATTAATTGAGGTTCCACCACAGGGCTGTTATGATGAGGATATTCAAATGAGTCTTTCAGGAACTGCACCACGGAGAAATTAAAGAGGGAGAGAGAGAGAGAGAGAGAGAGAGAGAGAGAGGGATGGAGATAACAGCAGAAGCAGACACACGTACGCAAGCGCACACACACACACACACAAACACCTATTGTAAATCTGCCCTTATCTCAAATACAGGACCATATTTGTGTGATCTGACATGCCACCCACTCGCTCTATCAGATGAGTATTTGAGAAATGAAAAACCCATTTACACAAAGCCGGAGCGTGTGGGAGAGAGATGGCCTGTTCTATACGGCATGCCCTCGCATTGTCAAAGTGACACCGCCACGCAAGGTCAGCGGAATTACGAGAAAACGTTTCTCCGCGCTTGTTCGGAGAGACAACTGATAGTGCCTCTCTGCCTCGTCGTTTAAGAGGTGCCCGTTTCCTGTATGATAACATGTTATTTCGCTGAAATTACGGGACCTGATGGGGGCCTAGTGAAACACGAGTGTAGTAGTTAAAGGATAATGGCTTAGCCGGCCCTGCCAGGCCTGCCTGAATGTCAGAGCGCCGCCTGATAACAGCCGCACCCTGCGATCCTGGGTTTAGGCCACTGATCCAGGCTAGAAAGCACTCTAACTCCTCTCTGCTGGGAGCTGTGCAGGAGTCAGGCTCTGATGAGCATGAAATCACAGGATAAAGGGAAAAATCTCTCTCGTCTCAGCTTAGATTACCACTACAGCGCTCGACTTATTGTCTTTTTGCAGAACACTGGTTGTGAGGTCTTCACAATACAATGTAGTTGCTTATTCAAAGCATCGTCAGCGGGGAAATAGTCACTGATATGGCAACAATCAGACAGCACTTATCACTATGCCTTATGTGGAATATGGAGTGGAATCTGTAAGTAATTGGACAGATACAGAATTTTTGTTGTTTGGTTTCTGCACTCCAGCTCATTGGACTTTATATTAAACAATGACTTACAGGTTAAAGTGCACATTGTCAGCTATAATTTGAGGGTATTTGCATCTGTATAAGCTGAACCGTTAAATCATACATTTTTTACATAGTTCCCCAGTTTCTGGGGATCATAAATAACCAGGCAAATAAACACAATCTTGACAACTCAAAATGGTCATGTTTACTACTTGGATGCAAATCCTTTGCAATCATAACAGCCTGAAATCTGTGACCCAAAAACATCACCAGACGCTGGGTATCCTTCCTGCTAATACTCTGCCATGCCAGCTATTTTGCTGCTCTGTTCAGTTTTTGCTTGTTGTGGGGACCTTTTACCCTCAGTCTTGTTTTCAGTTAGTGAAATGCAGACTAACTGGGTTTCATGTCAGTCAAAAACATCACACTTATTGGCCCTGAAAAAGTTGCTAGAGTTGCTTAAGCAGTATTTCTAGGGTCACTGTCCTACTGTAAGGTGAAACACCATTTTGAGGCAGTTGAAAGCAGTTAACCTCATTCTGCAGCCCCCCTAGTCCAATCTGGTACACCTGCCACAATACAAACACTTTTAAACACAATAAAAACACTTTAATAAATATTGACTTGTTTGCTCACCTACAAAAAACAAATCCAGTTAGCTTCCGAATTTGTAAATCATACAAATTCCAATTTCAATATATTCCATCAATGTTATAGAAGAAAAAAAAACTGGCATCTCTAAAATAGGTGAAAACTGCATTTTATAGCTACTGTGAAACTCTCACCACACTGTTCGCCTCAACTGTGTATAAGACGACTTCTCAGACTGCTAGAGATTTTTTTATGCACAAGCCTGGCCTTTCTGTTCCTCAGGCTAACCTGTGCTATGAATTTTGTTCTAAACCCTCAGAGAACCTGCTGGCGTATTCTTCTTTTTGTGGTAGTCTTTGACATATTTGTGTCTACATAGTTTACTTGATCTGTTCAACAGCTTTTCTTTATGATTGTGTTTTTGGTCACCCAGAACTGCGTTCTTCCTTGGTTTTCCCAGGTTGTTTGCATTTGGAAAATTCAGCAGTGCACTGTCGCTTTGTAACAAAATACCAAATACATCTAATGTTTTGGCTTTGTCTCTGATCAATTTGGTCTAATTGTTCTGTCTCACAATGGCCTACATTAGTGGTCATAACATATCTTTAGTTTTCCTATTGAGATAACAGCAGCAGATGCAAATGTCACATTAAAATTAACTCTAGAACAGTTTTATCTCTGTTAGCTCTCTTGCGAATTAATGTTAATGCAACAACAGACAACTGATCAAGAAATAACTGAGTAGCCCATTGTTCAATTAATTTTGGTCCCCTAACGTGCAGAAGTAACCTCTCAGGGCCTTTTGAAGGCCTACTGATTTTTGAGACCTACAAGATACATGTCTATTATTTTTAGATCATTTTTATTCAATGCAATCATGCTTGTATTTCAAATCTGTAAGAATTACAATACTACTTTTGCTTCATTGGTCAGTCTTAGTTGGAAACAAAAGGGTCAAATTCTTGAAACGCTGTCCGTTTTCTTTGTGGTATCCAGGTAGACAGAGCTAAGTGAGTTCTCCTATTGGTTAGGACTTCAAATGCTAAAGAGAAGTCCTAAGGTATCAGCATCATAAGGAAGTGACAAAGGAATCAATCAATCACATTTTGATTTCCAAAAAGCAGGAACAATTTTGTGAGACTCTAAACCTCCTGGAAGTCCTAGATATGTCTGACTATAAATATGGGTGTTTGCCTAATCAAATGTTAAATAAAGGAAAACAGCAGAAGCAACTCTAAACCAGACCTCTCTACTGAAAGAGCCACAGCTAAACTGCTACAGGTGAAAAATATGCACTAATATGTCTGTAACGACTTCAAGTAAAACATGTAATGTCTTTTAGAAGCCTCAAAGGTCTGTGTTTAGACTAGAACTGGCTTATTTATATTTAAACAAGTGGTACTAACAAATTTCCACTTTAAATGCTGCAGATGTTACATGGTGCCTGGTGCCTAAATGCAGCAGAATGTAACTGCTGCATTGTTTAAGGTGGAACAGGAAATTCGAATAAGAAGTAAACATCAGCCTCATCAGAAAGTGTTGATTAGAAGTGCCATTAGCTTAGCGCTACCAAACTACATGAGGTGGGTTTCTTCCTTTTTTCTTTTTTGATAGAGTTGTGACAATTATGGACCAAACTGAAGGCCTAGCTCTAACAGCCATGCTTCACTACTACTAAAATTGGTATGTACAAGGTATATATGCATGTACAACACATATAAAGAGGTTGGATAATAATTGTACAATTAATATAATTAAAGCTGACATTCTGCACCATAGAACTTTGGATCAAAACCAACAACATCTGTGTCTATGTACCGTTTGTTATGGACCGTACTGTAGTAGTCTGCTTAAGGTCAGGTTCCTGGACCCTGAAAATTCCTTTATTCACTGAGCTTCAAAACAAAAGGTTCCTTTACGATGTGGCCTTTCCTTCCAGGTTCAATATCTTCATCTTTGTATAGACTGTTTTCATCTAAGAGGGCTCGGCTTGCTATGAGCTGAACTAGAACAGTTTGAGCATGGTACATGATACACATCCCATTTGAACTGAGCCTAGTGAGAAGAGACTGCCCAGTGAAACAAGCATAACCACTTCAGAGTTATAAAATAACAAAAAATAACTGAGGGCACTAGCAGGCACAGTTAAGTTAAACAAGTACAGTCTCAAAAATACAGGTTCATGAATGCTTCTTGGCTTGGATGTACACATGTATAACAAGGTGCCACAAATTCTTTCAGAGATGCCACAGAAGAACCACTTTTGTGGTTAATAAATGTAAACGTTCTATACCAATTTAAGGGTTCTTCCTAGAACCTTACATTATGTGTAGTTCTTGAATTTTTAACCCTTGTGTGGTGTTCCGGTCTATGGGACCCATTTTCAATGTTTACCAAAAGAAAAAATGATGCGATTTATTATTATTTCAACCCCAGATTCCTTGGCCTTTGCTCATTTTCTGTAAAGAAAATATAAAATAACACATTTTCAGTGACTTCACACTGTAAACCCCCTACACATTTATATTACACATGTGGTGTTGGGGTGAACCCGCAGGGAATAAAAGTGTGGAGGTGCTGTGTCCCTTCATTCTGTTCTCCTCATACATGGCCTGCTGTTAGTGTGGGTGTGTCTGTGTGTGTATGTGTTTGTGTATCTGTGTGTGTGTGTGTGTGAGGGTGGACAACATGGACAGGCTACTGACTGGCTACAGCAGATAAAGGAGAACCCTACGCTGACGTTTCATATTTTAAACATCTGGTATTTTTACATAAATTGTTATGGCTGTATTATTTGAAAAAAAAATAATGCAGTGGATGCACTAGACCACTGAGTAACAAAAACATGAACAACAAACAAGGGTTAAAAAGATTTTTCACAAACATCTCATTCACAAAAATGCTTAGAATCATCCACTCTTTGACATCATGCAAAAAACCTTTACATTATGTGTAAGTTTGTTAAACCTTATAATGCTTCTTCACACGGACGCATCTTATTTACAGGAATTGTGCTCCATAGCTTTCAACCATTTTTCAACCATTCACTGACAAGTTCTTTGGGAAATCAAAAGTAGTTCTTCAGATGCACAAATCTCATTTATAAACATTTACATCCATGGACAGGTTCTTTAGGGAGCCAGAAGTAGTTCAGCTGTGGTGTCACTCTTTATAGCCTTTGTTTTTAAGAGTGTAGGGAAAAAAACACAAAGAGATTTTAGAGAAAGAACTCAGTCTTTGTTGTGCTCTTTAGGATATCAGAACATACTATAATTGTAATTTTTTCCCCACTTCTTCATGATGCAGGTCAAAATGGCTTTGAGTGGATGTGGATGAGAGAGAGAGTGTGTGTGTTTTGCTGTCTTTTCCCTCCTCACCTTGCCTGAGATGGCTGTTTCGCTGAGCAGAGACAAGGTGTCGCTCTTAAGGGACTGCAGGTCGCTGCCGCTGAAGTCTGTGACGTCACTGGGACTGGTGGCAGGGTTGGCATTAGCGGGCACAGTGCCCTCCTGCTTTTCTGATTCTGCGCTGTCCTCTGCCTGCCTCTCCACTGACGCCTGTGCCTGAGAACCACACATGGAGAAAACTTTATGCACAACCCTCAGCTGAATTCCCCAGTAGACTAGCATGACATCAGACAAACAGATATAGTAAATAGCCCATTGTTTCAGTTAAGCTGCTTGCACTTGTCATGAATATATTCAATAACACGAGTAATGCAAACAGCGATACAAACACACCCCAGTTCTCCCTCAGCACACAGCGACAACTCTCAACATGAAAAACACCACATCTATCAATTTCAATAAGCAGCCTTGTCTTTCAAAATCTCTTTGGTGTGCTGCAAAATTACCATATGTGAGGCTATTTACAATCCAAAACAAATCTCCAGCCACCGCTATGAAAGTTACATCCATCCCTGCCATGGACAAGATTGAAAAGGCTTGCTGTACTTGTTGCATGCAATTATGGTCCAACAAAAAGACACAGGAGATGGTTTAACATTTCATAGAGACTGTAATTACTCAGTAACGGCTCCAGACTGCCAGCCCCATGGGATCTCATTACTGAGACACTCATCATACAAACCATTTAGACAAACACTTCCCATCACCAACAAAGTACACCCTCAAAGGTTTCAATGAAAGAGACGTGCGAGGAAGGCACACCAATCAGTTTAGTGCAGTTAATTACTCTTGTGAAAGTGTGTGGCAGCATCGTTAGATAATTATGACACCAATTCACACTTTAAAAAGTGAGGCCTTCTGGTTGACTGTAGTGGATCTAGCTAATAATCAGAGTTTGAGTTGTCTAGGCCTCATCACGAGAGAGAAACAGATATGGGATTATCTGTGGGAGCATCTGAACAAATATTAGAACAACTGGCTGAATGGGGTCCATAACATGAACATAAATGAACATCTACAACAAAGCTTCAGTGAGTGCCATGAATGTCGTGCACCCATGACCAAGTATGCAGACAAAAGCTCAACATCATTTGAAATACAGAGATGTGAAAGAAAGAGAAGCAGCTAACATTCCTCCAGTTCACAGAATCAGGCGGAGCATTTTCAAACACAAATCAAAATGCTACTGACAACTGATCATATCATTTAAACCAGAAAACAGGCTACTGCTAGCTAGCAATTAACTTTACACATGCAAAAAAAAGGAGTAATGCTGGGTTGCGGCTGGACAGTGACCACATGTTAGTAACTAAAAAGAAAAAAAAAGTTGAGAAATTACAAGGGAGTGAGAGAGTACGTGTGCATCAGGGTGAGTTAACCCAGGCATATCGGCAGGATTCCTAAGCAAGGGCAAGATATCTCACTAACTTTGAAGGCAGGGAAAAATGAAGAGGAAGCAAACTGGTGGAAAGTAGCTAACTAATACGTCTATCTAAATATTCCATTGAGCAAATATATTCTTTTTCTCAAATCTTACCACATGAAAGCTCAAGCGGCTTTACTACAATATCACTGTGCTCACAATTGAAACTTTATTTGTTTGGATACTGCCTTTATCCATATTTTAATATTTTATATTTTTTTACCCATATGCTAAAAAGGCCACCTCTGTCCATAATGAGCATAAATCATGTCTTTAAGACTTGTGGTTCCAAATGATAATTTTTGTGGCATTTTTTTTTACTATTAACTACTAAATCAACATTAATTTTCAGGTCAGGTCTTAACTAAACTACCAGCCTAAACCAATAAGAGGAAAACAAATACAGTGAGGCAGTGTTCATGCTGCCATCTGGTGTGTTTAAGTAAGTAATTATTATCATTTATTCCAAAGCACCATCCACTTCTGGATTTTAGTGATATGGTGGTTACATTTCAGAGCAGTTATATACCACTTAAAAATAAAGGTGCCAAAAAGGGTCCTCTGGAGTGATGCCACAGCAAAACCACTTTTCCTTCCCTAAAGAACCTGTCGATGGATAGACACAATTGAAACCACTCAACTGAAAGGCTGAGGTGGTTCTTCTAGAGCATTGCTCCAAAGAACCCTTTATTTTTAAAGGGCTGTTACATGAAATGATTAGGAATGCAATGCCTTTATTGTTTTATGATAGTTTTGAAAGAATTGTTTGGGAGATAATGTATTTTTATTCTAATCATGGCTACAGGGATATATGCAGGGTGTTGTACGGCAAAATAGTACCCAACAAAACTTTTTTTTTCGGATTTAGCACTAATTTACTGTTATCAAGAGCAGATATCAACACTCACAGAGTTCAGTGGTAATTTTGATAGTAAATAAAATGGGCATATCTGTGTGATATCACAACTCCTGGCTTCCATTACCACCACTGTAAAAAAGTGCACTCGTGAGTTTTTCTACAATGCACCATTTTGCACTAAACCACTCTGAATGCCTTTTTTACATCTCAAGTACTGAATTATGCAGTGGCGGAATTCCCACTTAAGAGTGTAGGCCTACAAAAACAACGCAATGCTTGACCGGGCATTGCTGAAGCAAATTAAGGCCAACAGTTTGCTATAAATACATGAAAAATCCTTCCTCACGTCGCTCTGAACTGGAGTCCTTTAGAAGTCTCGTCGTCTTCAGTACTGTGTCCTCTAAAACAGAGTGGACATGTTGTGTTTAGCCTGAGTTCTAATTAACTTTGCTCGTGTAGCTGAGCGCCGGTTGGAGTGGCATACTAAAGCTCCACTTTGCTAGTTTTGATCAGGAACATGCAGAGGAGCCTGGTGGAGGCTACAGAGGGGAATGCAGGGTGGCGTGTATGACAACCGGAACGTCGCTGTAATGGCCAGCACTGATTATCGTCCACCGGCGCTTCTTCTTTTGCAGCTGCTGCGGCTGCAGCTGCAGGCACGTGCGTCATCATTAAAGTGGCGCACGAATCGATGAAAGAAGCGCTCCTACTTTTCACAAAGATCCAAAGAATGAACTGAAGAGCAGGATGGAGAGTGGAGGAGGGGTGGCTAGGGCTGACTATGGAGAGATGCTCAATGTGAAATGACATGAGAATATCGTGTCAACATCGCTGCATACAACTGTGACATATCAAAGAGAATAAACAAGGCTGTGATTTCACGAGGAGCTCGATAGAGAGAGAGAGAGAGAGAGAGAGAGAGGAGAGAGAGAGAGGAGAAGGGGGAGAGAAAGGAAGAGAGAGAGAGGGAGAAAGAGAGAGAGAAAGAGAGAGAGAGTGTGAGAGAGAGAGGGTGAGAAGGGAGAAAGAGATAGAGATAAGGAGAAAGAGAGAGAAAGAGATAAGGAGAGACAGAAAGAGGAAGCAAGAGAGAGAGAGGTAGAGAAAGGGAGGGGGAGAGAGAGAATGCACGAGAGGATGAGAAAGAGGGAGGAGAAGAGAGAAAGAGAGAGAACAAGAGAATGGGAGAGAGAGCGAGAGAGGGGGGAGAGAGAGAAAGAAAGAGACAGACAGAGATAGAGATAAGGAGACTTTGACTTTCACGCACCTTTATTTAACATCAGACACAAAAAACTTTCTCTAAACTAAACCATAAACAAACAAAAAAGTCTAAACAAATCACAAAATCCTCCCTACAAAGTTACTATAAAACCACCCTGATCAGCGAAAGATCCTGTGAGAGGGAGAAAGAGAGAGGGAGAGGGGGAGAAAGAGAGAGAGAGAGAGACACAGAGAGAGAGAGACTGTGACAGGTGAAGATTTTCCAGGTGAGGCTCCGAACTGCTAGACTCCACGTCTTCTAAAAGAGCGCGCATTAAATTCGAGACGACAAGGCAGCGCGAGCCCGGCACGCGGAGAGCCGCGTTTTCCTCAGAGTTCCGTTTTGTGTCGAGCGACGCTCAGAAGAACATCCGCTGAAAAAAATAATAAAAAGCGCGCCTTGCGTTGAAAACACGAGCTTTTAAAAAAAAATCAACTCTGAAAGGCTGTCACGCGCGCGCCTCACATCTCCCGCGCTCGCGCTCCCAGACTGCCGCCGCTAAAGAGGCAGCAGAGACGCGAGCGCTCACACTGCGACAAGAACTCTCCTTAAAACGCGCTCAGAAAGGCCTTTGAAAGATAAAACCCCAGACGAGTTACGCTTCTGTTTGCACAGCCTTTCTCTTTCTGAGAGTGAGCCGGGCTTGGCTACTCTTCCTCCTGTAAACTCACTGTGCTGAGACGACTGGAAACCAGCCTTACCCTCTGAAACGCTCGCGCAGTGCGCGCTCATGCTGATGTGTCTGGGTCTCTTAGTGGTGGAGATAATTTGATCATCAGTGTGACCCTGACTACGTGCTCACAATTACACTACAAATGACTCTTCCTTCAAAACTACGAGCTGTAAGACGCTGCGTATGTTCTCAGCGCTCTCTGATACAATAACCGGGTTAATCAGATTTAACCAGACTGGGAGAGAGCTGCTCAAAGCACATCACAAAACACATCTACAGAGTAGGGTAGCAAGTGTAGCCTAGTTACATGTGCTCAAGGAAAACTTCAATAGATTTTTACCTTCCTGAGGAGTGACTATTCATAATACTTTTACTTCTACTCTGGTATTTTTGTGAAGACAGCAATTTACTTTTTACTCTGTTACATCTTAATTTCACTGGACCAGTTAGCCAGAATTAAGCTTAATCCTCAATTGCAATGACTTTCCACCATGACTCACTATTGATACTGCTGTGTAGTTCAAGATAGACCAAGATAGTCTAAGACTATGTGTGGGAAATCTGCCTATTAGGTTTGGGTGGTGACAGCATCTGTACTGCTTAGGGATCAGAATCGTTCAATATCAGAATCTGCCGATTTTTTGCTCCAAATATGCAATCAGCAATCAGCCAATTTTACTTTGGCTGACCCATGCTGCAATTTTATGACGTGAATAGTAGTGTTTTAGTACGCGGAAGGCATTAGTCTTAGCTTTATTGTGACTCTGTCTTGTCTCGGTCTACCTCCATCTGAGGTAACTGGAAAGTGAACTTTTTCTATCATTACTGAATCTCAACAAAACCTTCCCTCAGAAAAAAGTCCTTTCTCTACATGTTTGTTGATGTTCTTTGGTTTCAAAATTCAAAAATCCCCTGAGAGCAGAGTGTGATTATTACTCTA